AGCACAGAACTCCCTTGTGAGAAATGAAAAAAGCCAAAAAACGACCAAGCCAGCCTCACTTTTTTACTCCTGTGTATAGAAATAACTTCTGCCCACACCCCCAACACAAAAAAAAACACATTCAGGGATGAAACAGACCAGGATATACAAAAAATATAACACTTTTATTGGAAACCGACTAAAGTGCAACAAATATTTACTCACTTGTGTCTTGGAAGAACACAAGCAGTTGCAGTGAAACATAAAGGATACAGTACAATACATCTATGCCTGGAGTTAATAACATAAATTATAGTACAAAACTGTACACAGTCTATTTACATTATTTACACAAAGGCACATTTCTCAAGAGTCGCATTTCTTATTTAAATATACAGTAAGCAATGTCATTAACAGTAATTCTTTTTAAAAAGCCACACTTTCAATGTGTTGTTTTTCTTTTATAGGTTTTTTCCTCCCTCTACAAGCATTTCAGGAGGTCGTGTCAGGTCCCTCACTGCGTCACCAAGAGACAAATCCCCCCCCTCTTCTCAGGACAGGGAGCCGACTCTGGGGAATGCTCTCAGGGCATTCGTCTGTTCAGACATACAGCATTTTCGCAGTCACTTCATCAGAGTGCTACATCAGAGTGACTGCAAGTAAGTGCTATGGAGAGGTGGGGCTGTGGCACGGATCTAATTGGGCTGGTGTTATGGTCTGTAGGTCTGTCGTGTTCGCAGTGGCCACTAGCTCTAGTGGACCTGAAAGTTTACTGTGATGACTGACATCTGAAGAACTCTTTTTTCCCCCACAGATACAATCTGATCAGTCATTCAACCAACCGTGGTGATAAACTTTTGGCACAAGCAAAGGATTCAGGATATGTTGTGCCCTTCTAGCGTTGGACTGATTACTGCCGGGTCACTGAGACACCCTTTCCCCTCCTTTTAAATTTTCCCCACTGCCTGGATCCCAGCACTGCATTCTGATGCCAAGCACACATGTCCTGATGGCCCGTGACATCAGATCCTGGACTACTAGATCCAGGAAACCTCAGCTACCTCAGTCGGATAACTCTGATGACAGACCCAGGATGGCAGGAAGACATCCCTGCTGCATATTTCTGACAAACGCTCTGTGGCAAAATGTTCCGAAGAGCACTATTAGCAAATAAGAGATTCCAGTCTTGTACTAGCTGCACACTGAGGCAGGACTGAACATACTGATCGAAAGACTAGTCTGTGCAAGCAGAGAAAACACAGTGCTTTTCACTGGGGCATTAAATACCTAAAAACGACTTGTCATCTAGGACATGCCCTGTACCCCGCAGTACTGGTGAACAGAAGATAGGCGTTTTCCCCCCTAAGTGGAAGGTGTCCAAATGGAGCACGAGATCTGCGACAAGGCCAACCACAGAAACTCCAACAACATACCATCTTCGAGAGCCGAAAGCCGAAAAAGGCCACTTTCCTTCATGTCAAATACTGTGTGATTGTAAAGTAAAGGGGGACTGAGGAAGAGGGGCCATCACTCCTCTGTGAAAGAGAAAGAAAACAAAACAGCATGCAAATGGGTTCAGTGCACTCCTCTTTAGGCGGCAGAGAGAGATGCCGCGGGGGCTGGCGTCTCTCCGGGTCTCTGCATGCGCGTGTGTGCGTGTGTGTACGGGGGGGGGAAGGGGGGCTCAGATGTCGTAGTCCCCGATCATCCTGCGGCGGTGCGTGCTGAGGAAGATGTCGTTGTCGCGCGGGCAGTCGTGGTGGCAGGAGCAGGTCTTGACGAACATCATCTTCTTGCGGAAGCTGTCCCCCTCGGGGCAGCGGAACTCCACCTCGGCCGTGGTGGTGGTGTGTGGGGTGCAGCAGCGCCCGTCCGTGCACACCCCGCAGAACTTGGGCCTGTAGGCCCGGGTGCTGGTGCAGCCGGAGAGCTCGAAGCGCATGGGCTTTGGGGTCTTGGGCGTCCGGATGCACTTCTTCCCCTTCTGTGACGGGAGACGCAGGGGAGAGGCGTGTCAGCGCGGGATACAACATGCCGCAAATCCCGAGACTGTGATACGGCGCCGCCGGCCGAACACAGAGGTTCTCTGCATCCCAATTACAGTTACAGCCTCTGATGCTTCTAAAAGGTGATATGACCCATCTCAAGCACAAACGACAACATCCATTCATTTTCTAACCGCCTCATCCGATTCAGGGTTACAGAGGAGCCGGAGCCTATCCCAGCAAGCAACAGGCACAAGGCAGGATACACCCTGGGTGGGATGCCATTCCATCGCAGGACAGACACACTCACACCAGGGCCAGTCTTCCCAGAAGCCAATTAACTGACCACCATGTCTTTAAACTTTGGGAGGAAACCCACACAAACACAGGGAGAACATGCAGACTCCACACAGTGAGCATCCCAGGTCTGCAATTGAACCCAGGTAGCACGACAAAAGTTAAACCCAGGGCTCCAGCACTACAAGGCAGCGATGCTATAACCACTGTGGCACCGTGCCTCCCCACAAACTACAGCATATGGTATTTCACTAGGAATACCACCACCCAGGAATTAGGTAAACTGAAAGGATTATGGAGAGTTCAAGTCAAAATCTAGCTTAACCCCCTTGGCTGGGACCCCCATGCACAGTGAGGAGTGACCAAGAGGGATGTGAGGGAGAGAAGGGGATCAAGTAGAGTATTTATAAAGTTTTAGGAGAGGAAATGACGTCAGCGGTGATTGCAAATTACAGACAGTCGCGTCTGATTGAACGTGGCTGTTGTCATCCCTCCAGCACTTCCAGTATCAACACCATTAAAGGTCAGGTAGCTATACCCCTTACAGCTTTCCTCTTTACCAGCTTCCTGCAGGACACGAGGGAGTGGCTGGACAGACGCACTGGCCTCTCACTACACACAAGCATCCCATAATGCCCAGCATCCAGACCGGTCTGCCCTGGCACCCACCTTGATGCCCTCCTCCTGGGCCACGTCGCAGGGCCGGATCATGCACACCCGGCTCTGCTTCTCCAGCTGGCACTGCTCGTTGTCGTTGGTGACGCGGGTGGAGATGCCCATGCCGCAGGTCTGGGAGCACTCGCTCCACTCCGTGGTCTGGACGATGCAGTTGTCCCGCGGGCTCTCGGGCTCCGGGCCGTACGCGGGCACCTCCCGGTACACTGAGGGGTACAGACGGGGAGGGACTGAGGGTCAGAGCGAGGCAACAGAGAGTGTTTGAGAGCAGGAACCACGGCCGAGACTTTCAAACTACGGTGCAATGCGGGCTGAAGGCTGGCCTGGCTATTC